CCTTTGCGGAGATCGTGCGTGTCGAGTGCGCGAAATGCAGGCGAGAGTGCGATTTGTCCGGTCCGCGCGCAACCCTCTGCGGAGATCGTGCGTGTCGAGTGCGCGAAATGCAGGCGAGAGTGCCGCGCGTCGGCTGCCCGCGCAGCCCTCTGCGGAGATCGTGCGTGTCGAGTGAACGAAATGCAGGCGAGAGTGCCGCGCGTCCGGTGCGCGCGCTGCGGAGATCGTGCGTGTCGAGTGCGCGAAACGCAGGTGAGTGCGATTTGTCCCATGCGCGCGCAACCCTCTGCGGAGATCGCGCGTGTCGAGTGCGCAAAATGCAGGCGAGAGTGCGATTTGTCCGCGTGTCGAGTGCGCAAAATGCAGGCGAGAGTGCGATTGGGTCTGCGCGCGCGCAACCCTCTGCGGAGATCGTGCGTGTCGAGTGCGCGAAATGCAGGCGAGAGTGCGATTGGGTCTGTGCGCGCGCAACCCGCTGCGGAGATCGTGCGTGTCGAGTGCACGAAATGCAGGCGAGAGTGCGACTTGGTTTGTGCGCGCGCAACCCTTTGCGGAGATCGTGCGTGTCGAGTGCGCGAAATGCAGGCCCTGGCGACTTTAGTACTACTTTAGTACGCGGAGTATTTGGGGATCCATGGAAGATGAGAACTGGCGACTTTCTAGTACAATTTAGTACGCGGAGTATCTGGGGAGCTGGAAGATGAGAACTGGCGACGTTGTAGTACAACTTTAGTACGCGGAGCAATCTGTGGAGCTGGAAGCTTAGATCTGGCGACTTTGTAGTACAACTTTTGTACGCGGATGAGTCATCTCTCGCGGCTGAGTCATCTCTCGCGGCTGCCCTGGCGCCCCTGCAGCTGAGTCATGTCTCCCGACCACCCGGCTCTCTTGAGAGGTTGACACACACACAGAGACCCACGCACTGCCTCAACTTACTCGGACACACACACACAGACAGAGACTCATACACACACAGACATATAGATACACACACACACAGAGACCCACACACTGCCTCAACTCACTCGACTTAACACTTCACACTGAACACTTAACAGTTAACTCACACTCTGACTTCCTACGTGATGAAAAATGCTTTCGGGCCACTCGTCGTCTAGTTTCAGATCCCGGGGTTCTTCCCCAACATCGGCATCACGGGAGAACGACCCGACGCGAAACGGTGCGTCAGCACCTCCGAACATCTAGGCACGTCAGCGCATCGCCCATTTGGAAGTGGCCTCGGCCGGAGAAGTGGCCTCCAAGGTGCAACCGTGTTGGATGCGGGGAGTTGGATGCGGTGTCAATCCAACTGGCTTGGCAGCGGTGCGGTGCCATTGAACGATTCAATCATGAACTCATGCCGACTCAACTAACCCGTGGTGAGAATTTTGTGGGTGGGCACGTTGAAGTGGGAAAAGAAAGGTGGTGGTGTGTTCTAGTGTTGATATTGTTGGCTCCTCGCTTACTCATTTTGCCGGCCTCCTAACACCAGTGTCTTATGCCACTGATTGGCAGGAGCTGTATCAGGATATGAACCGCTTGTGTGGGAGAAGTGGTAAGGTTGGGGGTTTCCAACCCGCGTTCTCCTGGTATTTGCACCTGTTCTGCAGAAATGCTCATGTGCACCATGTTTTTTTCCAAACAGCCGGAGGGTGTTCCAAGGCAACTTGCATGCACCCAATTACACTCGTGTCTTTGTTTTCTTTCTTTAACGTGTCTAAGACACCTCAAACATTTGTGAGTTCAACATTGCTGTTCGGAACTGTCCCAGAGTGGTGAGAAGGAATCCATGGACCTGACTTCAGCCTTTGGATGCAAATTCGCACAACTACAGATTGTCAGACGGCCACCAACCTGTGCTACCTTCCCCTGGCCAGATTGGGCGTCGCCTCTCTGTTGGCAGCCTCGGATGGGAGAGCCAAAATCATCATTTCGGGTCACCGGACGTTTCCGTAGCAGGGATGTTTGCGTGTTTCATGTGCATTTAATGATTTAATGGCAATCATATGGCTGTGAGATGCTGTGAGGTCCTGGAGCCGACATGTTCGCTGTTTGTCCATAGCCACACGCTACACCCTCCCTCACGATTTCATCAGGGTTTGTTTGTGTTGTCATTTGAGAAATGCCTTCTACAGAGGCAAGAAGAACCTTTTACTGTAGATGTTAGTATGTCAGGACCATTTGGACATGGACATCCCTAAATAGATAGAAACGATGTCCCCTCAAGTACATTGAATTGATAAGTATACATCTTGCAAGGGAATTGACTTTGTTCTACTCGTTTGGTGCTCTGGGACCGCTTAAAGTCGCAAGAGAGCTGCCCCTATGCGGCTCGACGTCCCTTGGCCCTTCCCTGAGGCATCGCCCCGACATCGTCGGGACTCCCGGATTCGTCCGCCGATGGCGAAGACAGCCTGGTGGAGTTTCAGGTTAAGAGTTGTTTGCTCCTCTCCTCCAGTCCCTGGTGCAGCAAAAACAAAAGGAACTTTGGATCATGTTCTATTTGGGAGTCGTGCACCAAAAAACACAACATTTAGCGCGACAGGGTATACCGTTCGGGAAAAAAGGCATTTTGGGTTCGACAATCTTTATATACTTGATGGATGGCATGACATGATTATGACATGACATGTTGACATGGTGGCATGACATGTTGACATGAGGCGTTTTGGATGGCATGACCTGGATGGCATGACTTGATGGATGACCCCTCCCTCCTATGGAAGGACAGTGTCTCGGTGTGGAGATGCTTGAGATTTTTTTTGGGAGCTCCTGGACGCCGCCAGTTTGCGTGTGCTGGAGGTTGTCGCCAGCCTGAGGCTACCGGCCTTGGGTGTGCATGGTCGTTGCACTTGTAGAACAAACCCATCTAAAAAGTGAGCTATTTCAGCTCTTCCAGCACCTCGACCCTTCCAATAGAGAGGTTCATATCCCTGTCTAGTTGTGGTGGTGAATGTGGCCCATGTCAATGCCCAAGCAAAACAACAACTCCCGGCTCAAGTAGTTTGCGCACAGTGCATTTTGGTAGTTAGGAGTCCCTTGTGGACGCCAGCGGGTCTCGGCCAAGCCGTCGCCCATGGCGCCGAAGTTCGGGCCGCTCGGCGAGCGTCCCTCCGCAAGGGGTCTATGGGAGTGCCCATGGGGTGTGCAAGGGAGAATCCAGACTGGCTTGGGGAAAGGCATGGGGAAACATCCATGGGCTCTTGAGTACTTCATCAACCACTCCGTCGTGGACAACGTTGATTGGATTCGTCAACCAGAGTTTGAAGGTGTGTATTCCTGCCTGCACGCCTGTTTGGCTTCCCCTCATCCATCTGAGGAAAGCCAGTTCTGCGACCAAACGCAGCAAGAAGCCCCTGCAGAACTCAGGCCATGTGCGCCGATTTGCGCTGTCACATTGAGCCAAACGAACTAGACTCTCGCAAGTAATTTAAGTCATGTTCATGTTTATACATATCTATATTCATATTTATACTGTGTCTCTTTTACCGGCGATGAAGAGATCCTCGTGTTGAGTGCTGGCTTCTGACCGAATGATGCTTCGGCGCACGTGCACCGGTCGCGGCAGTAGAGAAAGAATGGCCGCAGACCAAGACAGAAGGGTATAGTAATTAGTGCAATTTTTCCGTGCACTCGCTGATTGCTGATTGGTGGTTTGCCCTCAACTCAGGAAGTTCTAAAAGTACTGCTTGAATTTGCTTGTTAAGCTTCCGCCCTTTGAAAGGTAATTATATCAAAATCAGCTTTCAAGTTGATATCGCTGGCCATCGCTGTGTGTCTACACCCAAGGTGTTCTTGTAGTTAAGGTGTGTGAATATATTCCGAGCCTTGCGTGTGGTGACTGGGGAGGATCAGCACTAACCAACCATCCTGTGGGAGATGCAGCGGCGGTGCCCTGGCGTGCACGAATAGTTCGGTGTTTGCGCTTGAATGCCAGGTCACTTTGCTCTCTCAGCGACAGCATCTGGTCTTGAATTCTGGCGGACTGACGCGGCGAGACTTTGGAATTGACTGTGGTATTGCTTTTTGCACTAGGCGACTAGGGTTGGCTGAGTTGGCCCATTTCACCCAAGCATCTCCACCAGAGCATTTGCTGAAAATACTGAATAGTAGTTGATGTTGAGAAGCTTTGGGATGTGATGCTCAACTGAGCTGTTCAGAAGAAAGGATATATAATGATATAAATATGGATGGACTAGTTTATAGATAGAAGAGTCCTCCAGGGTTGGAAGCCAGGTATTTCAAGGTGGAACCCACATGTGCCAAGGAACTTGGTTTGATTCGGTTTGATTCGCAACCTGGAAAGAAGATGTGAGAAGAGACCTCAGCCACACAGCCCAGAGCGGGAGTTTGAGGATCGGAGCCGCAGCCTGAGCAAGCCCAGCTTGAGCCCCTTGAGCCGCCTAGCTTAGAAACAGCCTCAGGTGGGGGCCAGAAAGGTGGAAGCATAGATGAAGCAGACAGAAGTGTGAGCAAAATAGACCGTTGTTTTTTCAATTGACCCCCCTGGGACTTGAATTGCTTTGGCGAGCCAAAGATATAGAGCTTTTTGGGCACATATGCCGGGAAGAATGCTTATATAGTTGGGATTTGTGTTTGGCGGGCTGGTTTGGTCCGTGACACATAGAGTACTATAGAGCCTACAGTCTCCTTGTATAGTTGTGTTGTGTTTGGATGCATGCGGCATGATACAAATCATTACTTGGGCGAACCTAAACAGAGGTGGGCTGCAAACTCCTGCAAACTGCATCAAGCACTGACCCGAAGAGACCTGAGACAGTTTCAAGTGGTTTCGGTGAGCAGGATGGCCATTGTTAGCTAGTCCTGTGAGTTGAACTCTTCCATTCCCGCCCACGTCATACCACTCAGTGAGTTCAGGTCAATTGTATGAGCAGAAGCCGTGCCTCGTCACAGACATGCCCTGTGAGTTGCTTCGCATCGCAACTCGAAGTTGCTACATCTTGCGCTTCCCAATGACGAAACCCTCGTGAACGGGGCCCAAAAAGGAGCCTTAAACCTCCCAACGCACGCCCTACGTGAGGACGGACACGTTTTTGTCTCTGTGGTGCTTTCAACATCTCAACTCTTGAGGCTGAACTCTAGTTAGAGTTGTTTTTTAATGGTGTTTAGTATTTATGACGCTACAAATGGGGCTCCTGGCATCGCTACGAACGGAGCGTTCGGACGCTACGAGTTCGGGAGCGCCACTGGCTAGGAGGCTTCCTGTATGTCCGTCCGGAGGGGCCTGGTCGGACCGCAGCTCCGAGGTTTGGCTTCAGCCCCAGCAGTCCACGAACCTTGCTTCAAAGCACCTTGACTGAACGCCAGAACCTGGTGACGGTCGAGTGAGATAGTAAACTTCAAGCCGTCGCGAAGACGCTGAACGCGGAGTCGTGCAGACTCCAAAAAGAGAAGCCTTTGCCCCTCGTCCTCAAGGGTTCTGAGAAGAGCCCTGTCGTGTGGAGCGACCACTTGCCACGCAAGGTGTGCTGGCAAGCGGACCTGGCTCCGTGCATCCCTATGCAATCAGGGTGCACTCTTCAGATTGACTCTTTACATGTTTTGAGCATATCTACAGTCAGGATATTACAGGATAAACCTCAGTGGCTGGTTATTGGCACTGCGATTGCATGTCTACAGAGGTGTTGCGAAGGTTGCCGGCCCTCTCAATAATATGGAACAGGAGAGCTGGAAAAGATCACCGGCCAATGGATATGACAGGTCTCCACCCACATGGATTTTGCCCCAGTCTTCTCCACACATGGTGCAAACCATGGCCTTGTACTATTGGTCGGTTGATCAATAGGGCGATGCCTCAACAGGTATATGGTATCAAGTCGATCCCTTTATGATTCCCAGAAGAAGCTCATCATTTGTGCAACATCTGGTGATGATTTGCACTCCATGTGTGCATCCGTGGCGTTGGATTTCATGCACCGTCCAATGTTCAACTGAGGTCAGGCAGTGGCAGGGCTCAGAGAAGATGTCCGTCTTCAAGAGATGTCTAGCTATGTCACCTCCAGAGGCTGGAATGAACTAGGGGATGCGACATCGAGCTTGAAGTGACCAGAATCCACATGACGTGGTACGACATCGACAGGCAGATGAAGGTATCAGGTATTATATCGTGTTGACACATTTTGATGATGTTGCCATTTCGAAGGTCCTGCTGGGTTGGAGCATCCTGTATGTGTATCTGTATTTGTTTTAATTGCATGTTATTTGAGTTGGAGTGCCAGTGCCAGTGGCAAGGTCTCACAGCCTTGACTGACGTGTAATAATGCATGGAGGTCTAGTATGTCAATTCCTAGATTTGCACATCCCACATCTACAGCCTGCAGTCCTAGAGTCCTACAGTCATACTGACAAGCTTGCAATCATGTCACATGACATTTCCTGAGGCTTCAACTCTGATACCCCATCTCCCTCCCACGGAACCCAACCAAAAGCTCCCCGTGCACGGTCCCGCGCCGGTCCAGGCGGGAGCTCCTTACCGGTGCTGACGCCGGAAGTGCCGATCGCAGTTGCCTGACGGCTTCAGTGCGGGTTTGGTCACTGTTGGTCATGTGGCCGGGATGGTTTGTGGAGGCTCATTTGGAGCCCTGTGAACTTGTGAACTGCGTCCTTGGATCAATACAAGGACCAGAGCCTGGATGAGGAGGATGAATTGTGATGAATACACATGCAATGGGAACACTACCTTCATAACCCATTTGGCCAGACAGATTGTGCACATCGCCAGCATTGGTTGTGGTGCCTGACTATAGCAAATTACAGGATCACCTTGTCCAATCACTGACACCGTACAATCCTCCCTGCGCTGGAAGATAGTGAGGCTTGGCCGTCCGAGTTTGCTATTTTTGCCTTTCAGACAACTATCACTGATACCTGCAGCCCTGGAACATGTGGGACCCCTACAGCTGGAGCTATTTGGAGCTATTCATGCATCCGCAACGCCGGGTTTGGTGATGCATGGGCTGGGTCCATTCATAGACCGACCGAGTGTGACGAAGAAGAAACATGACCAGTCCTTCGCATCCCGGACCACTCGACGCGCCGGGTGGACGATTCGGGCGTGGACGACCGAGCCGTTGCATATCATTAGTCAACTACTGCTATATGGAACAAACCAACTTACTGTGCACAAATATGGCAAGTCAATGACACGCATATGGGATCATATGGGTATTTAAATCTTGAGTATGGACCATGGATTGCCGTCAGTAAGCTGCCAAGAATCCACTAGGGTGTTTAGTCTTGCCGTGTTGACTCCATCAACCATACCTAGGCTGACGAGCTGATCTCGGCATTCGCATGGATTGATTCTCCAGTTCTCCGCCGCGGTACCCAGGCAGCCGATCCCACCTTCCGGAAGAGCTACAGCTCCAGTCGAGGCTTCAAGGGCAGGACGGCGGTCTCATCTCACCCGCCAAGCCGAAAAGCTATACCTAGAGGATAGCTAGGGGGCCCAGGGGCCACTAGTCTTTGCGATCTCGGTTTTGTAAAGGATGCAGTGCACACTTTGTTCTTGTCGAAAGGTCCCTAGGAGTGATCACCTCACAAACGGAATCCAGTGAGCAGGGAACCTCCAAAAAGGATGAGTGCGACTCCCTGTTTCGTCGATGGTGAACAACACGGGTACTTGTGATGGCAGTTGACTGATACAAACCGAGGGAGGTAACAGAGTTCCCTCAACCTGTTTGATAGGCAAAAAAGGGAAACAGTTGAAACCTGCTCGCCCAACCCTCCCGGTTTGCAGGAGCGAGGACGTCCTGGCAGGGCTGCCACCCAGCTACGCGCAGCACATGAATCAGACACATCTCTCACAGCACGAGGTGCGCTAGTGTGCAGCTGGTGCGCTCATATAAAGCGGAGGATATGGATATGTATGGTTCTTGCACCCAATGGATCAATGCAGGGGATACACACCAGTCATCCATGAAAGCAGGAACCAATAGCAACCCAACACAAGCGAGGGGTGACACAAAGGCAACCCCGCAAGTGTTGAGTGGGCAAGTGTTGACCGGGCGCCACCCCCATACTTTGTGTTCATACACTTGGGTGAAATTGAACTTATATACCCTATGGATCCACATACCTTCTCAGAGTGTGATTGGAGACTATTTATATATGTAGGCTTGGAGGGTACAATTACCTTCTGAGAAGGTATGTGGATCCATAGGGATAGTTTAATTGTTGATGTGTGCCAATTCTTTGTGCCAACTGTACGATAGTTTGGAAGTGTCCTGTCCCAGAGAAACGTTCTGTGCTGCTTAGGATGCTTCAATATAAAACGGATTTGACTTGACATATCCCAGGGCCAAGGGCCGTCGTGGCTTTGGTACTCACAGCTGAACCCTGAATAGAGGCTGCAGCCCTGAAGGAAGCTGTGCAGGTGACTAAGACCCTGCCTTGAGCCTTGTACCATTTTGTACCAACAGTGTGTTTGACGTATCATTTGCCGGCCGACTATGTGATTGGCAGTGATTGCTTTGCCAGGGGTATTTCACATGATGTTTATTCTTTTTGTTTTTTTCGGTCTTCGTCTTCGTCAAGAAGCCTGAGGGCGGACACTTGGCTGACCTGACTGCCACAGGTATTCAAGTTCCCCTGAAGATTGACAGAGAATCTGCATTTGCAACCACCGATTTCGTCTTCGGAGATCGTTTGCCAAGAGCCACTCAGTTCGGAGATGGGAATCAGAGTTCCAAACTCACTCAGGTGCACAGCATATATAATATATAGAGAGAGATGCCCAACTCCAGCTTCCTGATTTCCACCCTCGCATTTGGACCCCTTTAGTCGGGGTGGAAACCCTCTCGCCACCCGAACTCGCGGCCTGGCAGACCTTCGGATCGCTACCGGACCTGCCTGGCTACAGCTTTCGCAGCACCACCGGAGAGTTCGCTCCCCTTCGAGGAACCCAAGGTGGGGTCCGTAGAGAAGTCCGTTTTCAGGCTGCAGAGTGTTTTTGTTTCTGCAGAACTCACCACCCGGAGGTGAGTGCTGAATGGAAACACATGGAAATCCCGAAACCCTCCTCCAGGAAGGTGCATGGAGGTGCAAAGATCAACTCCTCGATTGGAGGGCTTTGTTCCATGAATTGGGGTTTGCCTCCTTTTCGATGTATATACATTGAGTAGACTCGACTCTTTTTGGCATCGAGTCACCAAACAGTTTCTCCCCAAGTCAATCGCTGGATTGTGCAGCTGGACAGATGGTGGTGGGCGTTAAGATGCTTTAAACACTTTGAAGTGCTGGTAAAGGAAGCATGACCTCCATGCAAAACCTCCCATTTTGTTGGTGCGTTGACTTACGGTTCAGAGATATCCAGAGTGTGATCTATACACGTTGATAGTAATTGATGACTTCACAACTGGGTTTGAACTGGAAAGTGCATTCCTATGGTCATATAGATATTCAGCCAAACTGGATGTCATCAGGATCCATTTTCCTACATCCGGGCTCCCTCAACCCCCCAGCTACTCCCCTACCACTCCCAGCAGCTACAGTAGAGTCGAATAATATTCCAACATAAAGGCAAGAAAGAAGCCACAAAATAAAATCAGCCTTTTTATATTGCGCGAGGAAGGTCAAGACCATACAACCGAGCTATGAGGCGAGGCTGATATCATAAGAACAAATACCTGGAGACCTGGAGACTGGATACAATTCCCTGGAGGTTCTGAGAAGGCACCCGGTCGCTGGATTGACCTTCAGTGGATGGGTCACTACGCATAGCGGGAGTGGGCCGGCGATTCAGGCAAGCAAGGCAAGGATTGCTGGCAAGCACACATCAATTTGGGGAGAGGGGGGTTTTTGGCTTATGCGCCTGTACGACTTTGCTTGAGACTCCGAGACCACCCACGACACACAAAAACCCCGTCTCATCTCCCGTCTCGTCTCGCAAGACGCCGCCAGAGCTCCACCGTGCCTCCCCAAGCCCAATCGTCACAAACGTCAGTCTAACTAAATAAACGAACGAAAATACCAGGCGACCCAAACAACAGCATGGACGCAGCCAACCAGGCCCGGAGAGACCACAAAAGAGGAGACAACAAACATGCATCTCTGCGTTCGTAGAGAGCGACGGGTCGTTCTGATTGTTTGCAATCACGGGGAGAGAGAGAGAGAGAGAGGTATCTCAAAAACCGCCCTTCCTGGTTGATTGACGAGCAACCTACCACACCGAAGTAGACAGCCAGAGATGGAGGCACCGCAGAAGAGGACACCCAAGCAACACAGCACAACCACAGATATCACAAGAGAGGCGACCCAACCTAAGCAACCAACTGCACCAACCCACCACATCCGAAGACAGCCGGCACCACCCAATTTATATACTCTCTACTCTCTAGTCATTCCCTAGTCCAGAAACGCAATGACTTTCGATCCTGTCGAGACATGTTTTTCCAATTCGCGCCGTTCATTGTGTTGATGTTGGGTGGTGCAAGCTTATTTGGATGGGAGAAGCATGGGCTTGATCGGACTCCCGCAACCGACATGGATCGAACCTTTCGGGCTCCATGTATTTGGTGTGGAAGCTTAAAAAGCCATTCCAAACAGCAATCCGATACACAAAGGCGCCGTTAACAACCATTAAGTCTGGTGCCTGGACTGAATTCGGCCACATATCATGATGCACAGTGTTCCGCAAGTTCCCGACGCACGACTGAATTAAAGGCTCACGTTGATTTGATCGAGCATGTGGCTTGGCACACAAAGACCACTGGGACCGATTCCAAGTTTGGGTGGTGCCAATAGGGCTTTAGTGCACCAAAGGATGGCTGGTGAAACTGTGCTGGGGTGTTGCGCAGCAGCTTCCACGCGTCACATGCGACTACCTAGCTCCCAACTTTGTATGGTTTCACCGGCTGCGTGATACAGATGTAAGAGTTAGTTCGGGTGCATCGCTGGACCAACCTCTTCATGCATACGGGCTGCTAGATTGCATAAGAACGCAAAGCCCCACATGTGGACACACTGATTCCTGGTAAATGAAACAACAAAGCTGGAAGCAATATGGGGGCTGCATGTGCAAGCATGCAAATGCAATTGCAAGTGGTGACAGGGTTGAGCCAGTGACTGTCAGTGCAATTTTCAACTGTGGCTGAGACAGGGGCAATCAGAGGATGTTGAAAACCTGGTCTTCCGAGGGTCCATGGCCTCAAGCTAGTTTCAACATGTTTCAACACTTTGTTGGGTGTTAAACAGCAGACCCCTTTCTCACCCGTTCTTATACTTAGAGAAACTACGACATGGTACGAATGACTTTTGAACAGGCTCAAGAAAGATGTCGGCGCAATTCTTTTTCGATACATAATGATTTATATATATGTATATATGTATTATATATGCACCAGATCGCAGCAGAAAACGACATGACAAGAAAAAACAACCTTGTAAAGCAAAAAACGCTGGCAAATCCGTTGGCTTATCACCATTACTTTGTCATGTGAACATGAAGGATGAAATGTTGTTTAATGCAAACCACTTGCGCGCTTTGAGCCAGAGGCCTGGGGTGTTGTTCAAGCAAATGGATCAAAATGTGGACCAAGGATCGCTTTAGTGCTTTGAGCGCGAGTGCAGTGAGCCTTGTGGGAGGAGGGTGCGCGAGGGGTGCGAGGGCCCCTTGTGCAGGTGGCGCATCAAGAGCAACGGCCACACGAGGAGAAAGAACAGGTGGGGCTGAATACTGGAATGATTGAAAGGCGAGACGGAAAGGTCAGCATTGGCCTGCACACGGGCATCGCAAAATGGACATACTGTAGATCAGATCTGTTTGAAACAGCTAACCATCGATGCTTCACAGTGGCCACGGGAAGTTGGTCAGATGGTGCTACAGAGGATAAGCAGGATCCGTCGTTCATGACTCACGTTTTGCAAAGAACCAGCACGGAAACGCAGCACGGCAGATTTGGAAAACACATTTTTGTTGGGTATGTTTTGTAAGTTCAGCCAAGTAAAAGCAAGTCAGTCTCTAAAACTGGTGCAAATTTGCAATGTTCGGGCAAGTGTTTCACGCAGCGGTGGCAACTGCCTCGCGCAACTGAGCCCCGCGACAGGTGTTCATTGGCGAGAAATTGAGGACTCAGTTCAAGCAGTAGCAGATGAGATTGCGTTAGTGTCTATCCATTCATACAAAACTGTAGTGGCTGGGATCTTGGGGCCAAATGCCTAATTTTGGGAGAGCTCCGACCAAACCCACGTGTCCATCCTCGCTTGTCAGTCATGCCACACTTTGACATAGCTGATGCAATCAATCATAGTGCTTCCAAAGACGACTTGAAGTTTATAAGAGTCGTTAGCTTCTGACTAGAACTTTGGAGTCCTTAGTTCCTCACTTGGATTCACTCATTTTAGTAGGTGTTTGTTGGAAAGTGCAGCCAGCGGGCAGGGCCCCCACCGCTTTGGCAACCCTTCGCACTGAGTCATGATCCTGGGGACTGGCATGTGACGTGTGGTTCAACAAGTCTCCCAAGACCTGGGAGTGTCCAATTCCTTCACATCAACAGGTAGGTCTCAACTCTTCAACATCTCAATCTCACTCCATTCTCTCCCAGGACGAGCGCTCCACGCACGAGTCGGAGTCGGAGCAGCACCGCGCGCCGTCGCGGCCGAGCACTCGCGAGACGGCGGCCGGCTTGCGACACTCGGAGGGCAGTTCGAAGGTCAGAAGTGGGGAACGATGATGGGATGGGTGGGCTAGGGACACTTTGGGCTTCGACCTGGCAGTAATGGATGTTGTGGTTGGTATGTATATATATATATATGCGTGTGTGTGTGTGTATAACTGTGTATAAATACTCCGCCCTAAAAATAGATGCATTTACAGTAGACAAATGCGCAATCCACCAGGTTACCATCTTCAGAGTACCGCAGCAGAGTTGTGCCATCAGTAGGCATCCCGACAGTATCAAAAAGAACGGCGTTTAAGCTAAAAGAACCTCGTTCTCGGAGGCCCCCACGGCACGCTTCATCTACTGCATTGAATTGCAGAACTAGCTGAATCTTTTACGTTTAGAAAGACAAAGAGAAAGAGTCACAAAGAGAAGGGAAAAGCAGGCAAAAGAGCAGAAGACTCTGTAGAATGGGTGCTGGTGGGATTTAGTCGGCAAAGCAAGCCAGTAAAACATTCCAAAGCAAGCCACGAGCCACAATAGGGAGAGAGTTTACAATTGTGGACCTCCTCCATATTGTGGATCCGTGGCACTTGTCCGGGCCCTTTGCAAGCCTGTTGAACTGAAGTTTTAAGCCTATGGTTTTGGAAGTTGGAAGATTTGGGATGTCCTTCATTCTACTTTCATTATGTGTTCATTTGCCTTCATTATGTGTTCATTAGCTTTCATTTTGCAAATAGTGTGCAGTGATTATTTTTGGCACGAGTTGTTTTTTGCCTGAATTTTATCAATCTTGATCTTGAGGTCTTATTATGGACCCTAAACCCAGAATTTTGGTTGAATGATAAATCAAATTTGACCTGGAATTTGAATGTTATATTTACGGATGACCTGCTGAATGTGCATCAAGCATGTATTGTCTAATGTTGCTGCTGCATTTGTGGTCGTGATGAAAGTGAACATTTAGGTTGATCAATATTATTGTTTGATATGTTTGTAGTTTGTACTCTAGTGTGGAGGCGCCGGGGGGTTGATGTGAACCCAGAGAGATGTTGTGGTTTGGGATTGCTTGTCAAGACAAAATTGTATGTTTGTGTGTTGTTGCCATTTGTGTTGGAAAGCTGCGACTCAGGGGAGCAGGCGATTTGTTTGTGCAAAAGGGCCCTACACAGTTACACAGTGCATGGTCACAACGTATATAAAAGTCTCCAGACTCCAGAGTACACTTCTTCCACACATACATGCTGAAGACTCTAGATGTCCTGCAAGCAAGCAGCAGGCCAAGAAGTCAGTCTTGAGCTTATTTTAGGACTGCTCAAGACTTCTTGGCCGTCACATGTACCTTTGTTCATGTCAGAGCCGTCAGAGCTCCCCTTTCGCTGTGTCCAATGTGGTGCCTGGGAAAACGTCCTGGTGCTGCGGATCTCGCATCAGAGTGCCGAGAAGCTCATCCATTTCCATCAAGTCGAGATCTACGGCTGCGACGGGCCCCTCGGCTCGCGAAAAAGCTCCTAATAGCGTCCTTAGTAGTAAGGCCAGGAGCCCCTAGTAGCGTCCTTGCTCCTAGTAGCGATGCCCTTTGCTCCTAGTAGCGTCCCAGTTCATGCTGGGAACTGCAGATAAACTGGGTGAAGAGATCAGATTGGCCCCTTCAGCGTTGTTGCTGAATGAAAGTCTGACCTGACTTGGGCAGACACAAACAAACATGCATGTTTGGGCCTTCCGCCCATATCCCAGACCACATTGTTATACAGTATATATACACACTTTTTGGAGATCTCAAGAACCTGTCGTGCAGAATGAACAAAAGCAATAACTCCAGACTACTAGACTACTGTGCAGTAGGGAATTGTGATGAACCTTCAACATTGGAACCCTGATTTTATAAGAATGAACCCACGGCCGTCTCCATCCTAAGCATCAGCAGAGTGAGAAGCTTGTTGCTTGCTCTGCACCCCCGCCCAAACTCCTGTCCAAGAATCGTAAGTAACAGCTCATATGAAGAAGTAGAACGAACTCTGAGGGTTTTCCATGGTCTTTTTCATTTCCTGTGGTAAAGCCTTTCGCCCTCTCCGAAGCCTCCGCTGCGCGCCTTTCCCGCGGAGCCTCCGCGGACCGCCGAGGATCAACTACGCCTCCGCCGTGCGGGGCGGCTCGGCCGTCGCCTCGTCGGAGCAGGGCGATGGAGAGACCTGGGGCCCCGCGCGCTTCGTGGTGGACGGCGATCGGGAGCGAAACGTGTGCCACTGGAGGATGGATGGTTGGAGGTGCCTTCATGCCCTGGTGTGGAGTGATTTCCATGGACCGCAGTGGTACAACTTAGACAATATGTGTGAATCCATACGAAGTGCGTGGATATATGTGCATATTTGCTTTTGCATGCTTTTGCCCACCAACCTCAAACCAACGGGACATGTTGAGCTACTTCACCAGGTGAGATTGGCCAAGCCAGTGGACGTTGAAAGCTTCGCCATCTTCAACATGTGTGATGATGAGTACGACCATCGGCTCAGATGTGATGGCCATTTGGTGGAGTTGTTGAACGATGCAGGGGAGGTGGGAGCCCGCCCGATGGTGATCTCGACGGGAGCTCGAAAATGTGTTCAACGCTTGATGTTGTAATATATAAATCATATAATTGTGTCGGTAGTTTGTTTGAGGTTGATTTTACTGGATGTTCATCACAAAGCATTAAGAGGTGGGAAACACCTTCACCTAGGCCCTGGGTCGCAGTTTTTTCACCACAGTTCCAAACATAGTCCTCATTTGGAAACAGAGAATCAGCACCCAAGCTTGTGAATGTGAAGCACGCTGTTCGTCAAGGGAGGTGCTGTTCCCGCGACCAGGCACATTGTCAGCAGATGCCCTGATTGGTGTGCGTGTGTGTGTGTGTGTGTGTCCAACCCTGGACAAAGGGTTTTCCACCACCACTCTTTCTATACTACATGAGCAGGGGAGTGGAGCAGGCCTGCAGAGCTCCACTTAACAAAGCTCTCTGCAGTGTCCTGAGGATATCAGCAAGGACGCTTGCTGACGTACCTGCACCAGAAACTGTTACTCAAGCTTTTCCACTTACGATTTGATTCATGGTGGTTTCACATGCTAATCCCCAAAAACCAGCTTCCTTCAGCCGCTTTCCGCTGACTTTGAGTTTGCCGCTGCAGTCATGCGATTGAAACAATTATGTTCAAACACCTTCAAATGCCTGGACATTTCACCTTGCTGTTCCATCGCCTTCCTTCCCAACGAGACAATTGCGTTAACTGAAAACCCAAGTTCGAAGTGTGTCCTGCTCAGCCGTCCCACTCGGGTGCTGAGTGTGATCCCCGTCACAGGGGCGCCGATCTTGCATGGGAAAGCAACCACCCCAACGCACCACCGCTCACTGGACTCTCACAGGAAGGCACCGACACCCTCACAGAATCAACTGCCACACCGGCCGCCGGGCCAAAAAACGGTTTCTTGAAGAATACATCGGATTTCAACTTTCAGTTTTCAGATTTCAGATCTCGGATCCGTCATTTCATTTCATGCCTTCAAATCATGTGCGTGTTTCCACGTTTGCTATATTGATGCCGTGATTCTTTCATCGACAGAACTCAAGGATGGGCATTACAGCTCTTCAGCTTAATTCGAGATGCATGAACACACACCTACCAACAAGCTCACATCCAGCACCACCTTACAACATACTCACCATCGACACCAGAGATGACACCTTCAACAACAACAAGACAATACAACTCGGCACTTCTCCGCTGCTTTTTGCTGCCGCGCCGCGCCGCGCCATAGCTACGACCACGACATGCATTTTCCGTGGCCCTACGCTCACACCACGCCACCACCATTACCTACCACACAACCTCAACCCACATGGCCGCTGCCACAGCCATCAACTGCACCCACCTTTCCCACGACACAACCATCGGCATACCCTCACCCACAACCACAACCATTTCAACCACCACCTTTTTTGTCCAACCCTACCGCCACTGCACTGACCTACGGCACACCATCCACTTGGACGTTTGTGCAACCATGTCACGTGCCACCGCAGCCCACACATCCAACTCCAGTCTTTCCGACAGCAGCACCTCCCCCTTCATACCTGTTACCACCACAACATCCCACACCACCGGCAGAACTTCCTCCCCCCACTACCCTGACCCATCCCCCTCCAAACACAGCAACAGACTGCGATTACCAATCATCCATCCACAGACCCCCAATGCGCCATCCCCCAGGGCGTTTGGCAGCCCTATTCAGCTTTTCCCCCAGTCACACAGCCTCCACTCCAACCGTTGCCTCCGCCACCACCTCCACAAACCATCAACGCCTCAACACCAGTCCAACCTCCACTCCAACAGCAGCCACCATCGGATCCAACACCACCAATCCAACCCATCCCCACGACTGCCCCGGACACTCCATTGCCGGTCCAAAACACGACCCCTCCAGCTACCGTATCCCAACATTCTGCATCCCCATCGCTAGTATCAGCCACACCAGCGCCCGGATCTTCACTATGACAAACCTGACACCACTGCCTCACCAGCACCACAACCACCTTCCCCGCAACCACCACACAGCAGTCGCCGCCACCACCACAAGAGCCGACGCAAGTCCGACCATCACCACAGAGGACGCCACCGCCACCGCCGCCGACATCGCCATCACCGCCACTCCAAACATCACAGCACAACCCGGCGACGGCGGTCGCCTTCAACATCCACTTACACATCCAGCCTTACGCCATCCCGCAGTCGCTCACCACCACAACCCATTGACTTACGCCCTAACACTGAACACACCAACCCAGACCCCTCTCAATTTCCCACCACAGCCGTCCTCCGTCGCCCAATCAACCGTTGGCGACCTCCACCCAACTTTCACACCTTTACACCTGCAGACCAAATCCTGGAATGGCTCGAATTCCACGCCACCCAACTCGACAATCCCAACCGACCACAACACCAGTACATTGCCAATATCCTCACAGACTGCAACATCACCTACAAGGAGATCACC